GGGTTCCCATCAGTTTTAGGCTAAAACAGGGCACTCTACAGTCCTGACACGTGAAGAGGCGTGGAGGCCTACCAAAAGATTTTCTGTTGGCCTGCCACATCCTTTTCCACCACGCACAAAAGCATTCATATATATTGATGTGAATCGGACTGGAATCTTCTCTTGTAGTGTTTTACTTGGGCTGGGAAAGAAGAGCACATTGGCCTCAGTGGACTGCTCTCCTGGAAGGGAGTTTCATGATGGCTTTCCATCAAGATGCCACAAGGTATGGGGCTCTGCTGTGGTGGGAGCACACACCCAGGACCTGAGGACATCATACAGTAATTTGCAAATTTTTGGAGTAAGTCCCTACCCTTGAACTGCTGCATCCTCACACTAGCTCCCTTCATCCTGCACAAACAGGACTGCCATTGTGCCCCTAGTCCCTTGGAGACCTGTGGCTGGTTGAATTGTTGGCCCTTTCCTGGATGGCCAATCTCCTCTTTTCCACCCATTGCTAGCTCTAGCATCCTAAGTCCATGCTAAACCGGGCAGAAGCTGTTGACCCAAGTGTTACCATCCTACCACCCTCACCAGTTCTAGGAACGGATCGTCTGGAGCTTCCAAGCATCTCTACTTAGTCCTGAATGTAAATAGTTTTGTGGTGATGGTCATTACTTCAACAAAGCCAGGTAATTTTGCTCCACACCATGAACTGTTTTCTGTAACACTCAAAACCTAGAATTCTGCAGGAAAAGGGGAAGTTGCTGTGTTGATTGCTCATTAGCATGTATTTTAAGAGACACAGGCATTAGATTTCCAGAGGTAAAAGATACATATAAAAAGCTGTGTAAAGTATGTTTTTCTTTTCTTTCTAGTGTATGTATAACTATAATAAGTTTGAGATGCAATCCTAATCTCAAAAGTTACAGGTTATTCCTACCATGTATAAATATCTGTTACTAGTTCAAAGATGCATTTATTTAGCTTCATTCTTTTAAAGTTTTTGCAAAGCCTTTGCCAGCATGGACTTTACCGACAGGATAACTCTTCCTTAAATAAAAGGCAGTATTGGATTCTGGCTATACAACGGTAGCAGTGGTCTCACGAAATCCAAAGCTAACTGTGTCTGTATGCTAAGGTGTCCTCCAAAATACCATCCTGTACAGAACTGACTCAGCCTTGACTTTACCTGTTCCCAGAGAATTGAAATGTTTTGTCTGGAGTTCACATAAAATGTCATTTTGTAGCAGTAAGTCATGAAAAAAAAAAATAAAGAAAACCCTGTTCTTTGTACCATAAGAGCTACAATGGCATTACCACTTTTTCTTCATCCAGAGGGTAAAGACTCCAATCAATACACTAACATTTGGAATGACATACACAAGCAAGTTTTCCTATATGAAATGGTTAAAAAAAAAAAGATAAAAACATAAGTGTGCTAAAAGCCTGCCATGTGCATAAACATCCAGATCTCCTGAAAAGCAGGGAGAGTTATGCACGCTCCGGGTGCCACTGCTCTTGGGGCACGGAAGAGGCTGCGTTGCAACGCTTGTACAATGGGCTTCCCGGGCACCTCAGCTCTGCGGTCAACCAACAGGTAACACCTAGATGCTCCAGCCAAGGTTCTCAACGGATGAACTGAAGCAGGATTTACCAATAAACTCAACAGTGTTTCCACTTTGTCTGTAATTTTTGGGCACTAGGCCAATTTCAAAATTTCAGGGAGTTTTAGAAGTGTAAGTAGACAGAAACCGGGTAATTTTAAAGGTTTTTTGAAAAAGCTGACTACTACTGCCATATGGAAAAGAAAAATCAAGGTCTCAGATGTCCCAGTTCGGTCAGTGACAAGATGGTCTCTTTGGCACCCCCAGCTCCACCTTTGGTGCTTAAACTGCACCCCACTTTGTTTTAATCTCATTGGTAAATTGTTCTACTGTATAACTCTACTTGTTCTAAAAACACAACTCTACCTTAAAAACCTCAAATTTTGAGTCATAACCACCTACGTTGTCACAGCACCCACATAAAACGCAATAGAGAAGACAAGACTAAGGCAGGCAGAAAGTTACATTCTGAAGGCAAATTTGGGTTTTTCCTTCTCACACATGCTAACAGCAACAAGGCCAAACTTGTCTTCTGTTGTGAATCTTTGTCTTCATTTGGTGCTTAACACTTGAAGAGTTTAAAGTCAAGTATGTCACTCTGGCAGTGGCATGATAAATAGAGCTGGCTAAGTGCCTCTTCAGGCTGTTTCCTGCAGCCAGATAGCTATTTCTAAAAAGAAGAGTATGTTGTTATAATGAGTGCTTATAAGGCTTTCTTACCAACGAAGTTCTACTCTTAAGCATAGAACTTCAACTTTCATACTTTGAGTTCTAAATTTCATCTGCAAAGTATGTACTTTTATTACTGAAGTATGCAAAAGCTTCCAGCTTCTATTCTTAGCCTATGAAGATAAATAGATCCAACGGGACCTCCATGATAAAAACAGCCAAAAAATACAGGAGGGGGAAAAAACCAAAACACAAAAACACAAACCCAATGCTTAACTGCCAATATTTTTATTATGGCAGTGACAGAATGTAATCTCCTTAATGCTTGTTTTCAAGCTCCAGTATGTTGACAGATCTTTCAGCTAGCACAAAAAGCATTATCTTCAGGAACACAAATTCCTTCCTAGCTCATTACAAGAACTGTTCAGCACTCCTAATCATCTCCTGATCTATTGTGTAGTCACACAGCAGTATCTTTGTCTCCCGTCTGTATCAACTGCATATTACACTTCACCTTCCTACGACATGATCCTTCCCAATTACTGCATGGACATAGATTAAACTCTGGCTACCCCGTGGCAGAAACACCTAGGTGCATCAGGTTCTATGGAAGAGAGCCAGAAGGGATCAAGTGGGTAAGGGGATTCTCAAGAGAGCTCAGTAAAGACAGCAAGCCAGCATGCTTCAGAAGCATGGAAAGAGTCAGCCCCAGAAGATGACAGATTATTGAGATACTGGGTTTGACATGAATTTCCTTGGCAATTCTGTCTTGATGGAATGAGTAAGTCCCCAGGTAGTGCCTGCTCATCCTTTTAAATGAAGGTTACACAATAATAAAGTTTAAAAAGCCAAAACTGCACAGAACAAGATTTGAAAAGCAAGAATGCCATCAGAGCAAGCAATCACGTTAAGGAGAAAGAGAGCTGTTACACGGGGTGGCAAGGGAGGGGCAGGGAAGGTTGCACAACAGCTTTTCACAAAGTTCTGCATCTTCTAGATTAGATGTTAGTGAGTGGGTGAGGACAGATGCACTCAAGACAAGTAAAACCCAGACACTATAAGCCATCCTTATAGATAATAATTAAGTAAGACCTTATCCCACCCCTCCGAATCGCAGTCTCACAGCATGACCTGCTACAGATGAAGGAGCCCTTAAAGGGGGAAAAAAACCAAAAAAATGAAAATACCTTCTCTTACCGAGGCATCCTGGTCTTCCTTGGTATAAAACTGCAAATCTGGCAAGAATACAGCGCCATTGGTATGAGCTGAAAGACATACACTTTTTTGTCCATCCTGAGGATCCTTGAGAAAAGCTGTACAGGCTTCCAGAACATGGACCTAAAATTTACATCTCAATGTAGATAACATACAAAGTTTGTATCTCACACCAGTGTATTATTTTTGCGGTACTCAAATGCACTTTATTTTCTCAGAACATTAGCTCATCTGTGTGAATTCAAAACTCCCCATGCTATGTCTTAAAATACAATTAAGGCCCTAGCTTAACTGAATTCACACTAAATTCTGAAGTTGTGTATTTGTTGGAACAAGACTCATTGTTTTGCACCTATAAGCACATGAACAATATTACACAAGACAGTAAGCACTTTACAGTAATACAGGCCTTAAGTGTTTTTGGAAATAACGTCAAAGCTATTGAATCCCCTAAAGGGGGTTCAACAAGAACAGAATTAGTCGACAACTCAAGTGAACAACACTGATTTTTATTTGTAAGTGTTACAATACAGCCACCATAAGACTTAAGAGCTGAACATAAGACTTGCATAGATTTTTTTTTTAATTATTTTATTTCTCTTTGTTTTAGGCCAAAGACTCCATTCACTGTTTGGCACAAAGATAGCTAACAAGTTTCACTGTAGATGTGTAATTCTTAAGAAAAAGAAAGAGAGCCACACATTTGGTTTATCTAGTAAGCAAAGCTAATACACAGCTGTGATTTCCTGCCCCCCCCCCTCCAAGTCTTCTGGGAAAGACTTCTTTGTGCTTTGGTTAAGAACTTACAGATCAAAAGCCTAAGTATGACCCTTTTGCATAATTACATTCTTGGAAATGCATACGGTATTGTGTGCCATATCCCTCTGATAGAAGGCACAATTTATGAAGAGAACATTCATGAGCAAACAGAAGTCAGTTCTGAAAGGATGAGTCACACCGACTAAAGTTGGTGGATTATATATTCCCCCCAAATATCTGTAAAGTAACTTCAATATTCATAAAAATGAAAACTCTTACAACTGTTCATGCCTGGAAAAAAGAGAAATGTGAGCTAACACAGTTTTCTACTGGTGCAGAGTTACTTTACAAACTAGATGTGAGAGCAGGCACTATCCCCCAAGAACCCACATGTCAACAACAAGCAAATGATTACAGGCAACTTTTTTTAAGCTTCATTCTCCCTGCATACTTGAGGTCTGGTGAACAAAACTCTATGTGGCTGTAAAGCTGATCATTTTGTCTAAAGTGCTTGATGAAAGCAGGGAAACTACAAAAATGATAAATTAGTGAGACCAAGAGTGGAAGAGTTACACTTATCATACAAAACAAGAAAGACTGGAGCATTTTCACGTTTCCTTCTTCCATTAAACAGCAAAAAGATCCTTCACGGTGAAGAGCTCCCTTAAAGTATGTATCATTCATAATACATTTTTTTCTTACATTTCTGGGATACAAAGTCATTCGACGTAAGACTCGGGAACAATATGCCAAAACCGAAAGTATTACGCCTAAGAAATCAAGATTACATAGCAAGTTTTAATCATTCAAAAAAAAAATCTTTGGGAAAATGCTATTTAATACTTTCAATGACTTTAAATGCCCTGATACTATATATTTTACAGTAGAAATGCAAGAGCCTTTGGAACACAGCAACGTTTGGTTCTGTGCATGTCTTCTCTTAAGACATCATCTTTTTCTTACATTCCACTGAGCAAAAGACCATCCCTTCCACCGGCATGAACTTCTGGCCAATTAGACACTTGCTGCAACAGGAACACAAGAAGCATTCCTGCGTAGCATGCCAGTTGAAGTTGTTGTATGTCACACGCTGAACTTCGGGATCTATAGCATCATGGCAGCCTTGGCAGATCTGTTTAGAAACAAAACAACACTTAAATGAAACATACACATCCTCTCTACAAGTCCAAGAAAAGCTGGAATTCTTAGATGTTTTTAGGGGAGAGACACAGGTGTCAAAAGAAGCCTTTTAAGTAAGTCTCCGGCTTTTGATTTTCCTTTATTTTTAAAGCAGTTTCCAATCAGAATGCAGCTGAGGACACAAAACAAAATAAAACACAAAAGAAGTTAGTTGCTGCTCGGACTAAACTTAGTTATGATGGTTAGGATTTCCCAATGCCCAAATAATGATAAAAACTTGTTGTGAGAAACAGCACAGATCTTCACATATTAACCCATACTTTTGACGAGATTAGTTACAAATCTTCCTGCATGTTGGCAGCTGTAAAGCAACACCAAAGAATTAAAGGTTACTAGAAAGTTTTGGATGCAATTCATCTTAAAATCTGGTTATCAAAAATTATCATTTAGATCAAGGAAATTAACGGGGGGGGGCCCTCTACAAGAGGTAATTCCTCACACCTACCTCAGAAGATTAGTAACTGCCAGCTAGAGGTAATAGTTTTTCCTTCCATCAACTATATAAACAGTCTAGATGCACATTAGACTGAAGTCCCAGCTAATAGCTAGTTAATTGGTAGATATGAACGGACCATCATCTCAGATTAGAGTTCCTAGCATCACTAGGAATCAACAACTACTATCCTTTCCCAAACTTCTAGCTTTATCCTATCAGTCACTCTCCTTTATAACTCCTGTGGTTAGAAATACAAAGAAACAAAGTACCTAAGACTGCACTTGCCACTACAGGCTTTTAGCAGACCAGCTGAAGTTGAATACCACTGGTCACAATGAACTATGATTGACACGAACTAAACATTTAGCAGCATTACTCACCTTTACCTACTTTACTCCTCCTGTAACAAATCCTGCTTCACCACTGGCAAAGTTAAAGGTATTTTCAGAACAGCCTCCCCGCCCACCAGTGGCTTTTGTTCAAGTTTATGAATTGACAGAATACTTGTCTGCTTTTAAGTTTTTTTTCCCTCAAAGGGGAAAAAGATAATTGACTTGAGCCTAAACTTGCATTCGATTTATACTCTTCAGATACTGTCTGCCAGTGTGACGAGTAAGAGTTTCAAGCTCCATAGATGTACATTCCCTTCCTTCACAGCACCAACATGTGTGCGAGGATCTTACCGCGGCATGGTTCTTCACGTAGCAGGGTTTGCAGACTGGTTTGTCATTCACCATTACATAGATTTCCCCAGCCAAAACGCAATCACAGTCAAAACAGCAGAAATGTTTCAGATGCCAGTTCTGACCTTCTGCTTGAGTATATTCATTGCTGAATATTAGCTATGAGGAAGATACAAACAAATATTAACATATGCATTTGAATAGTATTGCTTTTAATAAAGCTAGCCTCAGAATGTTTTGTAATTTCCAAGAAACTCCTGGTGATTCCTCGATTTCAACAACAAAACCGAATGGGTTCACTTGTTTGATTGCTTCCCCAAAGCCTTCATTTCGTTCATTAAGAGCCAAGAGATGCCAAAGACACCGGGCAGGCTGCTCTCTGTGCGCTGCGCAAGGTGTAATTTAGTAAGGCGCTCCCTCTAGTGCCCTTCAGGAGGAAACAGCTGCATGACTGGGACTTAGAAAAATTTGCACTCGTATATTATTACATCCTATGTCCCTGTAGAACCCACCAAATCCAGAGGAAACTATGAATCTTCCTGAATGTGGAGTGTCCGTATCAGTTTCAGTTCCTTGCAAGTACGATCATCTAAAACTGGTGAAGGCACATCATTTCCCTGCACTGAAATATTTTACTAGAAATCATATTTTCTTCTCAAGGGAGCAAACTTGTGTGCTAAAACAAAGGACCAGGATATTTCCTACCTCGTCACATCCAGCACAGCGGGGTTTTTCGCTGTCACAATAGTGTCTTCCACAGTACAAGTTACCATTCTTCCAGAAATAGATCATGTCCACTAGAAGTTCACTGCAGGTGCAACAGACAAAACAAGCTGGGTGCCACAATTTGTCGTATCCTGCACGTTCTGCGTAGACAGCTGGGTCACCTTCTTTCATGCTTAGTTTGCAGCGATAGCAGGACTGGAAAGAGGTTATTACCAAGTTTAATAAGTCTTTGAAGAGGTACATTTATAGCAATTACATATTACTGACATATTTAATAAATCCCACCTTCCCAAACTGAAATTGAAGCAGTAGTTTACTCCCATAATCAGATAGTAGCGTGACATGATGCCACAGTACAGGTTTAACTAAGCAATTCAAGATACTGCACATTCTACTGACATAGCACCAGAGTTACTTAAATGGATTACTGTATTTTGCCATATTCACATTCTTGCCACTGCAGTCTAGTTCTTAAAAAAAAACAGAATGGGCAATTAAAATTCATGTTATGTTCCATCAGCCTTACATACTCAAGAATGAGGAGAGAATAATAAGGAGCCTCCATCAAAGCTAACCAACTAGACTGTGACTGGAACACACAACAAGAAAATGACTGTACTTACAGGTTTGGGGGGGGGTGGGGGGGTGGAAATCAAGCCATATCTGCATCAGTGGTGAGAAAAACATTTTGTGACTATTTCAAACTCATTCTGTTTAAAGCTGTGTTCTAGGGATGCTAGTCACTCATGGCTGTTGTCCAGTAGTCTGTGACTATCTTAGGATGGGGAGAGTGATTATGGAAAAGGGACTACAAAGTTTATGAACACAGTTACACTACAAATAGTTCAAAAAAATTCATGGTCAGTCTTCTGCCCTATACCTGCTTACAGAGAGGGTTTTGTCATCAAGTCAAAAAACACAGGTGGTTTATGTTACTGAAACAAAATTTTTTTATCTACAGTTTAATCACCAGTTTGGCATTTCCTGCACTCCAGTTGGTGTGTGGACTGGGCTGAACATCCTGGGAAGGTTTTTTCTATGATTCACATCACTACAAGCCCAGCCACAGATGGCTTTTCTAATTGTGTGTGTGTGTATACATATATACAAAAAATATAAAATACATATAAAGTAGCTCAGCTGTAAGGCACATTGATGAGTTCCCCACACTTGTTTCAGACAAGCAATTTCAAAATATACAAAGACAGACATCAAAAAGGGAGAAAGAACAGTTTGGAACAAAATGAAAGGAGAAGTAATGAAAGGAGAGGTGCAAATATATATGTATATAAAGCTTTTTGACTCTTCTTTCTGCTTTAGACCTCTTACTCCAAGAGGAGTCAAGTAAATCTCTTTATGCAAGTTGAAAATATGCTGAATATCCATTTTTCTGTTATTCAGCTTTCAGTCATGGTGAATTTTTTTTTTTCTTTTTTAAACACAGAAGTAATTATTATAGGTATATATAGGTATATTTACATTAATTGTGGAGATCTGGTTGGTTGTGTTTTGTTGGTGGTGGTTTTTTTTTGTTTGTTTTTAAATCAGGTTTAAACAAATTGCAATCCATTCCTATAATGAAAATTAATTTTTCAAGAGATTCTATTTACCACAGTTACAGGAATACATACTTTCAGACTCAGTCTGAAAGACAACGTACAAGAAAATTTGGAGAGCAAAGATGCAGAACTAACAGAAAAAAAAGTGTAGACAAGGATGACAACTCTTCTGCAAGGTATTTAAGAGCTCTTCTCTGTATTGGTTTATTTTGAACTGTTAAAAAATAGTTGAGATAAAGTCTCAGCTATATGCTGTAGCAGTCACATTGCAGAAACTAGACAAAAAAATACTCAAAATATCTAAATCCTGATTATTTAGCCCAGGGTAAACTCAGTACCTAACAACAGATAAACAACTCAAATGTTCACTTACACTATTAAACACTTCTAAGTCTTTCTAAATCACTGCCCACAGTGATGAGATATGCCTGGCCTAAACAGTAGGAGGTATATTCAGGTGCTCAAGTAAAAAAGTTTGGAAGTGACAAATAGGTATAATGTAAAAACAAAGCACCTTTTGATACAATTACTCAAGAGGACAGAGTGTCTCCTGCCCTTGACCTAATGTAGTCCAAGCCAGTTTACCAGTAGGGTTCAATGCAAGGTGTATATCTATGTAGGTCCTTCTCGAGAAGGTAAGCGAAGAATTACTGTGGCAAGACTAAAGTAACTCAGCAGGAGAGACAGAGTTAAGACGAAATGATAGCAACCTAATCAAGCCACAATAAAATAACTTTTTGGTATTTTAGAATCTCCATGACAAGATAACAGCAAAAATAACCAAATAATTAATTTTAGAAAGTAGCTACAGGTAACCAAATGGCAAAGCATATGACTGATTAAAGGTAAGTGGGCATGTTCAAAGCTAAAACTTAAGTGTTAATTTTAAATTTCTGCTGTAGTTTGTATGGAATAATATGCTGTGTCAGTTTAAAAAAAACCAAACAACAAAAACACACCACAAAAAGCACACTACATGTCCCAGTAAGACTGAAAGCGATAACAACCAAGTTAAACAAACTTTTATCTCCATCTAGAACTTGTATATTTATTTTCTCCAAGTAACCTAGAGACAAATAATTTGGGAGATCGATACATATAATAGCAACACTTCTGGAAATCAAGTTACAGGAGCTTTTGCCACTCTGAAGTGAAGGTCTACTCTCACTAAACAAATTTAATGTTACTTCAGTAATGCAACCCCTATTTTGTATTCATACTTGGTAACCAAAACATGTACAGCAGAAGTTAGCAAGTTATGCCAGAAATACTTTATTAAGGCTATAGTTTTAGAAATATCAAGGAAAACTTGGTAATTTTACATACCTTATTTTTTGTTGAGCTATTACAAAGCAGAAATCAGATGTCAAAGAAAAAAACCAAACACATAGATCTGAATATGAAAAGGCGGCTAGTCAAAAGAGCTGTTATACAGCATGTTGGACATGGGAGGGAGAGGTGTTACTTATTTCTTAGTTTCATTTAATTTTAAACACAGTTTGTCAAGTGGGTAATTTTGGTGCTCTTCCAAGAAAGAGGAGAAAACAGGCTTCTAAAATTAAACTAAACTCTTCAAGAGGAGAAAAGTGTAGCAATTAATCTGTAAGACTACACAAGTTTCTTGATTATTATTCTGTAAAAGCCACCCTGCTATACTGTATCTCCAAGCTAACATGTTTTTGCAACAGAGAATGAAAAGGTCACCTAGGGAGTTACGCCCTGCAATGCACTAAATACTGTCAGAAACCAGGGTTCCGTGCAGACATTCACAATGTTTTCCAGTTCCCCTTCTTTCTTTCCCTCCCCAGATTTTTTCACTATTCCAAGTTAACAAAGAAGTTAATTGGGTTAAAACGACCAAAAGAGAGCACTCGGATGGTAATATACCTTCTTGTTTTATCTTTCCTTTGTTATACTTACATACTGAGATGCCTTCCGATCTGGGGACTTGTCCTCCATCGCTCCTACAGCAGCTGAGGTGCCTCTGTCACCATTGTTCAAGTTATTCTTGTCAGTAGCTCTCGTTTCCACCTCACCAGGGAGCTTGACATCTCCTACGCCAAGCGCCTCATTTTTGTACTTCTTCACAAATTGTTCCATCTGCTTAACTTCATTGGGGGATAGCTCATGGCATTTTGAAGGATCCTGATCGTGAGCAGGCAGCTGCTTCGCCAACTGTTTCTTCCTGTACTGCGCGCCTTCCGAGCCAGCAACAGGCTGCTTCTCCTTTGGTAGCATCTGCATATACTGTCTAGCCTGAACCAGGAGGAATTAGACATCAGATGCCACTTCAACTATAGACCCATCCTTTTAACCAAACACACCACTAAAATCATCTCTACTGTTGTTAGCGACAGTCAAATTTGTCAAAAACACGGTTCTTTCCATAAACACTAAGCTCCCGAAACACAGTAGATAGAGATAAAATACAGCAGATGCATTAATTGGCTTCTTCCCAGCAAAAGAGCCAGGCTTCCTTTTAAGCCTTTTACAACATGAAGAATAGAGTTACTACTTCTCAGAGTAAATAACAACATTTACAAAGCACTTTGTCTCTTCAAAGCTATCTAAAACTACTGATCATCAATATAGCTTTAAAAAACTAGATGCTGAAGCAGTCTGCCTGGGGCACACAGCCCATTGCAGAAATAATTCTAGCTAAATAAGTAAGTTAAAAACCCTCTAGTTTTATTAAAGCAAGGAAAAGCCTAAAAATCAAAGTGGTAACAGTCAATTTAGATACACAAGGCTTGACCAATTCACTGAAAAAGGATATTTTGAGAGACAGGTCAGATATAACATGATTCCAGCATGGATCACACAACACCGCAGTACAGTAAATTAGCAATCAAAGTTTGAAATGTGAAGCAAAATCCTCAGAAGGCTATCTACCATCTCATCTACTTCAGCTGAAAACATACTGGAAGAGAGTTGGTCTTTTAGATGTCAACACTGACCCTGTTCTTACCATATACAGTAAAAGCTATATGCAAGACTGAGTGTTCCCCTTAACTTTAAACAATGACATAAATTGTTGTGGGGCTGGAGGTTTTTGTGTGTTTTTCTTTATTTTTTTTCTTTTAAGCCCACATTCCATGCAAATTTTTCAAGTTTACTAAAAAAAGGCAGGTTAGAGAAATCGGACTCCAGGGACTTAGCAGATAATGCTTAATCTTATCTATTAAAAACCATCTTATCTCCCCAGTTCTCAAGAAGTTCTATAGACAAGCATCCATATCTGCAAGATGACAGAGGAAAGACTCATTAAACAGGCACTGTATTTTCAGTTTTGAGGAGGAAGAAGACTACAAGAGGCAAATTTATCTTTCCAGTAAGCTCTACTTCTCTATTTCCTATCAACTCCTGCCTTGAACATGAAGAACAAGTGAGTTGGACTTACAAGTGTCTGATTCTGAACAGGAGGAGCCCACTCATAAGTGACAGTATTGATGGATATGTTCTTCTTGGCCGGCACTGGATTAGTCAGTATCATTACATTGCGTTTATACATGGGAATGCCATCATTCTTCAGCTTTGCAATAAGGGTTGTGTATTTTGTATCTTCGAAGAGTTTCCCCACTTTTCGATCTTCCTCATTGCTTGTGAGGACATCATGCTCTTCCTGGCCACATTTGCAGTTGCGGCATATTTTTCTGAAATTTATGGAAACAGCAACAAAGTCAGAGTCTCAGCTAAAAATTACATCTCACACCAGCTGTATGCATAGTAACAGCATCATTGGGAACTCTTGTTGTTGTCTTGTATATTCCCTAATCAAAGCACTGAAAACAAGTTACTCTGCAATATGTCAAACACCTCTTGAGGATACTCTTTATTTCTCCTGTTGTATTATTTGCATTCTCTGTTCACAGAAATTGTGATTGGAAAGATAGCAGTCAACTACACTAATGCATTTTGAATGTGATGCTATATCATTCCTTCAGTTATACCTCAGTACTGATCACACACATACATGTCCATTATCATTCACCTACCAGATTTATTATGGGTAGTCACCCATGAGTTAACTTAAATGCATCAAAACGATCCTCCCCAGCAATCATTTATTTGGGCTTTTAGTTTTTCAGGTTCTCTTTATGCACTCAAAATGACACACACCATACTATTTTCTTCACATGCATTTCACCATATGCATGATGTTTGGTTATCACAGAGTTGCTATCAAGTAGAAACAAATATTTCCTAGAAAGGAAAAAAATGCCTACAGCCATATATACGCTGTAATCGCACCAAGTTCTGTTCAAAGTTCAGCATTTAGAAGATGAAAGAAAAGAGAAAGGCTTATATGGACAAAGCCTTTCAAATGGCTCTGAACCAAGTCAGAGGTGCTCTGGCACACACTGTAAGGAGAATTTTCATAGATAACATCCTTAAAAGGTAGAAGGCTTTACTTATTTAGATATAAATGGTATTCTTTCACATACAACACATTTGAACTCCTTTGATTAAGGGATATTAGATAGCAATTTTTTACCTTAAGCATAATTAAACAATTCACATATAATAAACAGAACCTTGGATTGGACAAGTTGGTTTACTACTTATTAATGGCTTCCTCAGAGCTTCAGTTCAAAGCAGTCAGCCACAGTATATGGAAGTTAGTGAAGCTGGATGTTAACTACAGTTTCTTACTATAGCCTGAGAAAACAGATCAACCTTCTGGATCTTGAGTTTAAAGAAGAACGAGTAGTATTTTACCCCATTATTTATTCTTCACATAGAAAAAACCATAAAACTACTACCTATAAAATGCTTCTCAACCCTGCTTGCCAAAACCCATCAAACTCTAACATTGTTCTGCATCTTGCTTTCTAAAGTCTTGAAGGCAAGATACAGACCTTATCTTAAGGCACCCAACAGGTACATGACGAGAACATGCCATGAGGACAGCAGGCCCATTAGGTGACGGGAAAGGAAGGCAGGAGGAAGACCTGCATATAACTTGTCATGTGAAATGATGCACAGCCAGCCCTAAAGATACGCACTACATACCTACACCAGTTTATGATGTGGGGTACTATCGTGCCAGTGTGCGATGGCTGTTGCTGTGGTTGTGCGATTATACAACAATCATAAGTTAGGGTAACCTAAGTTATGAAGCCCACTCCAAATAAAAATAGCTAACTCTGCAATAGAAATAAGCCACTCCACTCTAAAAATAACAAACAAAATAAGAATGTTAAGCAGAATGAACTCCACTTTGTAACACAAAAACCTAGAGAGATCAATAATTGAAATGTAGGCCGTCTGACAGCTTGCATGACTTCCAACTCACTTCCACAACAGGAAAGATGTACAGAATTTCAAAGCTGATATTTATCTGGATACCTAGTAAACACTAAGCACTTCATCTCCCAGCTTACCAAAATATTCAAGCATGACCTAGCATTGCCCATTAAGCCAAAATGCTGTACTACACATCTCAAGCACCCAAAACATAAAATTTCACATCTTCAGCATCAGTCTATGTAAGTCCTTTACCTAGGTAATGCTTAGAGACTATTTAATATACCAATAAAGCAATTTATATTCACTTTGCTCATCTTAAGCCATGTAGATGATTATACCAATCATGTCTTCTTTGAGATCTAATTGAGGTGACAAAAATCAGACCTTACTTTTTGCAGGTTTAGTTCATGACTACATTCATGACCATCATGCAGCTATAAGCCTCACAGCACGCATGCAACTTGAATTCAAACAGTTAGTCCATTTGAAAATAGCTTACCAGATATTTTCTTCACTTTTTCAACTTAAGTCTTTAGCAATAGTAAGCCCCGGTTTTAGTCTTGCCTCTTGACAGGATGTGATCTATTAACATTGATGAACGAACAGACGTTCTCAGGTAACCTGCACAGACTTGTGCAAGGAAAAGTATAGTCTTGCTGTCCAGAACTGCTCTGCTTGCAAAACAGATCTCAGTAAGGACAATTCATAGTGTTGTGCTGCCTGTGGGGTCACAAGAGCAGCATGACAGCTTGTGCAGCTCTCCCCACTCTGTACAGCATCCAAGGACAGTAAAGCAGCATTGGCAGCCTGCAGAGACCAGACCATCCCCAAAAAGCTGAGGTAGAATTCTTCCCCTGAGGCTTTCAGACGTGCTGGAAGAGCCACAAGGACACCTTATTTTTGCTCATGCTACATCATGAAATTGCCTATTTTCTAGTAGTATTCTCTCAGAATGCAGAACAACTTTGAGATCCTGTTTTTGTCTCCAACTAGAACACCCTGACTCAACTGCTTTTATCATCCTCAGTCCCACCTTGAAGGCTTAATACATTTCATTAATTTCAGCATCTGTGAAAGATTTTCAGATAAACAGATGAACAGATAGTTGCAAAGAAGTGGAAGTGTACAGTTTGTCCTCAGGTCCTTCCTGGGTCCCACTGTGAAAACCAGCATAAAACGACCATGCTTTAAACTTGCATTGAAAAGAATGAGATACTCGCTAATCTCCCCCCACCCCAGACTTACTTACATTAAGAATTTGACTGTGTACTTTTCAGTCTAACATTATGTCCTTGCTCTTTCAAGATTAAGTGACTAACTCTCTGCCTACATGGAATTTGCAAGACGCTGTTACAGGGGCTAGTGTAGTACAAGTGAGTGGTCCTGGCATTAGAGCTTGTGGATAATTAAGTCTCCAAATGCAGGAGAAAACAATCCGGAAAGAATGTGGAGAATGCTGAGTCACAACTGATGTCAGCATATCTCAGTAAGTAGAAGGAAAATCCCCTAGGCTGTTGCCATGTCCCCTGTTCCCCAAGGCCCCCCTGGATCTCAGCCACATGAAGATGTCTGTACACTGCTAACAGCCAAAAAAAAGGTTTCCTGTCCTGATTTATAATCCCTTTTCTTGAATAATTTCCAGTCCTAAAAGACATTCAGTTAACATTTACACACATAACTCTTCCTGTATAGCACTGTTTACAATTCAGTCATAACTTCTTCCACTAATTGCCACAGAGTCCTGTTCATTAATCACTGTCCGTTCTGCAGAAGGGATATGGACAGTTACTTCCACTTAGAATAAATGAGCTGGTCATTTCTTTGACTATGATGCAACTACGCTACTGAAGCGACCCTACCCCATTACCTCAAACTTACACTTCAAAGTGTAAGTCTGATAACTTATGCTTAACTTTTATTTTTGGTGTAAAGCAAACACCTCACATGCCAGGAAAACCAGCTGCTACTACATACGCACACAGATAAATAGATATATAAAAAATGAGATCACATGTATATGTATAGATTTTATCTCCTTTGGCTCTATCAAGATGACAGGCAGCAAGAATTTCTTGTTCTCTCCATCTGCATTGTTGAAAAGATTTTCCCTTCACTTGAGGACATTCAGCAAGATCCCTGCTGAAGAAGGCATTAGGGACTCCTGCTCATGTGTTCACAGCTCTCAGGACTTCAGCAAAGGAGAGAAATGTTCTCCAGTCAGATCTCAGCAATTTGGGAAGCTTTTCCCATTCAAAACATTGAAGGTAGGGAGGAAGCTTCAAAATTTGTGGAATTAAAAGCTGCATATCACTGTAAAAGATCCAGTAGATTGTGCCTTGCTTCCAGGTCTTGGGTAGGTAAAAGAGGAAGCGGCAAGGTAAACAGATTCCACCCTCTCTCCCAAGGTGGTGAATTCCTGTGTCCTGGATGTCTACTGACAGCAAGGATCAAAGACTTCCAGTTTCTTCTCCAAAACCAAATGTCACCCATCCTCCTACTTTTCTATGTTTTGGTGTATGGAGAGGAAAAAATAATTTGGATGATGACTCTTGCTACATCAGCTTTGCAGTGGCTCCTAGTGACAGGAGGTGGCAGCTGCAAGGCCAGAGAAGCCCTCAACAAATACCTGGCAAGTCCCAAGGCTTGCGCCCTCCATGCAGAAAGACTAACCTCTTCCTGTGATTCCTTCTGTTGTGTTTTCTTGCTGTTAATGCAGCTACAGTAATTGCAAATGCTTTGAACTGTGCCTCAGCACTTGCCCTTGCCTGTCAGCTGCAGTATCAGAAAATGTTAAAGCCAACTTAAAGCTCTCCCGGCCTTCCAGGGATTGTATCTGTGCAGAGAAACCAGATGCTGAAAAAGGTCATTCCCAAGCTTAAGATTCTTGTCTCCAGAAGCTTTTTAATATCTTGGCAAGCTGCACCGGAGACAATTATCACTTTCCAGTATATACATGACCAAGATAAATCAGAACATTCCCTCCCGCTTTTATCAACTTCCAACTCCTGTCCCACACTTCCCTCTAGCGGGAAACATATTCCCAAAGAGCAAACACACATCCGAGTACGTGTCTCTTGCAGTCAGCCTGCCCTGCTAATTTTGTGGAGATCGTTTTGCACTCCGAAAGTCTAACACCTGAACTGAGAAGACCCTGCCCACTGCTGCTGCTACACTTGGATGGAAGCGTGATTCTGAGGACAATTTTAAAAGCAAAAGCTGTTAACACACTAAGATAAAGTAGGAAATTGTTCACTGTTCAGCTACCATTGTAGTCTGTGGCTCTCATTGTATTTATTTTGTGTTCAGCTTGCAACACTGAGGCCTTCAGAACTTCAAAATTTAGGAACAAATTTTACTAAGGGCTTTGTTTACCACCATTTCTACATTAGCCTAAATAATGTATTTATTCTGCACCTATATAATCATCCCACACACCGTGCCAAGAATTCTAGCACAAAGTGCTTTAAAGAGCACTTGCCACCCCAGAAGAGGTATATTCCTAACATTTCCAGTATAGAGAACTGTGTAGCAACTTCATGTACTAGATAGGTATACTTGGATTTTTTTTTTTCCACGCCCTTTCCAGTCTGACTCCCCAAAGGCAGAACTGGGGCTCTTTTGTAGAGAAATACATAAAGGAATTACATCTTAGCTCTGAGGTCCATCGGAGTTTGCACGTATCAAGAATTATGTGATGTGCTGAAGCTCCTTGGCTCCACCCAGGAGAGGGCAGTGTCACCCCGACACAGCCCGCAGCAAGGACTGCAAACACAACGGCGGCCTCGCTTACCGCACTGGATCTGGCTCCTATGAAGGTAGCTTCCTTCGTGGTGCTGCCCTTCGGATTTGCGGCTAAAACAGCGTTGATGGCACTTGCTGTTGCTGAGCACTTCTGGTACAGTGTCAAGGCTTCCTCTTTTTTGGACTCTGCCCCCACTTCAGGAAGTAGGCAAGAAGCTGGGAGGGGGCACTGCTGACTCAAATTGGCCAGAGGGATGCTCCATACTATATAATGTCATGCTCAGCAATAAGACAGGGGTAGAGGGTGAAGAAGGCAGGGTTTCAGATCTCCAAAGCAGATGCTGCTTGGAGACTGCCTGAGCAGCGGTCTGCTGGTGGGAGGTGGCGAGTGATTGCCTTTGCATCACTTGCTCCCCCACTGTCCTGCCTTCCTTCACCTATCTCAACACATGAGTTTTCTCACTTTTGTTCTTCCTTTATGCTACCCCACCCTGTTGTGAGAGGACAGGGAGTGAGCAGCTGGGTGGGTGCTTGGCTGCTGGCTGAGGTCAGCTCACTACAGTTGTTCTTCCCCCCCCCCGTAACAGTTTCTGTAAGTACAATCCCTACTTCAAGACTCATCTCCTATAGATGAGTCATAGTGAAATTAGTGATTAAACTCAAACTGATTTTGATTATTCTTGTTGTAAAGACAATATCCTCTCCACTTGTGCTACAGTTTGCTTCTACTTAAAACAGTTTCGGATTTTAAGGCTAACATGACTAAGTGAACAGGTATTTGGGATCCATCCCTTTCTGTTCAAGTAGTAGAATGTTAAAATTTCTGTATCATACAAAGCATATTAATATTTTTTTTCCTTTGGAAACTGTTTACACATACAGATTTTAGGCTTCAGATTCACACCCTTACTGTCCAAGCAGCAGCTCAGCTGGAGAAATAGCTATTTTCTAACCCATTCTTGAATTGCCTCAATAGCTAACTTTTCAAGTGTTTCAGAGGTATGTGCCACATTTGTCTAACACCTAGATGATGCTTCTCAGACTACTTCCAGCCACCTTATTTACCTGGTCTATCCTATATAGACTCAATTTCCAAATTAAATCATAAGATTAACTAAATAGTCACTGGTTTTATGGCTTTTTCTTACTTGCTCTTTAATCCACTGCTGCCTACAAGCTCTTGTTTTCTAGGAGAGACAGTGCTCTGACAAGGTACACATTCAGGACCCGGCACAATGAGCCCTAACCACAGGAAGACAGTGAAATGTGTATAAAGAAAAAACATGCACAAAACCCTCCAAATACACACATTGGAGCAGACACAGTCTAACCTGGTAATCATGCTATTATGTGACTAAATCACTTCAGACATTTATTTCTTTTTATCCCAAATTCTTCCCTGTTAAAGAATAAGCTAGGAATTACAAGATTTAACAACAGGAACTAAGAAAAAGAGGACAAAAAGGAAGAGTTGAGAAAGAGTTAACTGGACTAATCTTTTTTTTTTTCCCCTCGCCCACTTGTGATTTCCCCATCTATCACACTGACTCTGAAGAAAGAGTTCTCTCTCAAGTAGGAAGTGACATAGTTTCTCGTCTAACCATGGATAAGCAACTCTATGTACTCCTGCAATTTTTTTATTCTGTTTTATTGAATTACCTACACATATTAACTGTGTTCCATTTTATTTTACTAGTACCTTTGAGTCACCTCAGTGACTGTGTATTGAAAAAACAGTCTTTCCACAAATTAATAATTTCTTTTATCTTTAGATGATCACATCTATTTATTAGTATATTACCACTTCTTGCTCCACAGGATTATTTGGAAGTTGTTTCTCTAGCTACATATTACAGATAGGTAACCAAGAAGCTATATCCTCATCAACTTACAGACAGTTTTTGCTGTGGTCTGTTTGTCTGCTTAATTTTCTAAACTGAGCTCCAGCTGTAGTCAAACACTTGGGCAAAGGTATAAAATCTTCTAGGCCTTATCTGCACCTGATGCCACTATGGCTGGAATGTAAATACTACCTTAAAAAACTCCACAAAAATAAAACCCTACTGCAGATGCAGCTATGACTAGCTAAATAGCATTGGTGAAATGTAATCATTTTCAGTGCTAGTGCTACTAACAATTATTTATTTTTATGTCCTTTCCAGGCTGTTCCTTTTGCGAGGGTTTTGTTTTGGTTTTTGGTGGGTTTTTTTGTTTGTGGTTTTTTTTTTTTTAAAATCAGAATCACTAAGCTACATCTTAAAGCATACCAAGTATAATCAGTGAACTGGGCTAGCTACATATATGTATATTAATATACACCTACACATCTTGTTTCAGTAAGACAAGAAAGGTCTTAGTGGAATACAAAGTTTCTGCAGAAGTAATGGCATAGACCACAGCACAGACTGTTTACTTCTACTCTCACCAACTCTTAGTGGTTCAGGAACAGCGCATCATCCAAGGCCAAGTACAATTTAACTTACCTGAATTATGACACCCTTTCCCCCTATGTGTCATTTGTAGATGTATACAAAATTTCAACATCTTTTCAACATAGATAATTTTACCTAAAATCTCAGATCAAAGCTTATGTATTTGGTCAGGAGCTGAGAAAGCATTTTATTACAGAGATAGATCACACTTCTTCCCTATCACCTCTCTTACTGTAGGGACAGAGATGTTTTAATAAACAGCTGAAGTAGGTTTGTAAAGCTAAAGCAAATGCTTCAGCAGAACTACTACCACTGCCTTCAGTGCAGGTGACACACATTTTCGTAAGTGATTACATACTTAAACACTCTGTTGTAATGCAGCTGAGAAGCCCTGGCCCTGAAACCTAGACACAGCCTCTTTAAAGTATCTGAATAGTTTAACTGAAAGAGTGAACAAAAGCAGTTACTTACGCATTTGCATATGTGCCAAGATCTGCAGTGCTGAGTCACAGCTCAAGAGACATCTGGTGTCACTTACCTCCAAAAATGAAGCTCAAATCCTTCACACTTATCCTTGCATTTTAAGCAGGGGGCACCAAATCCTTGCTCGTGGCCCAAGCCCATCTGTGTACAGAGCAAGATGACTACAGTCAGCTTCAATAAATATGTCGCATTAATGATCTTACTGCTGCCCTTATAATCTACAATCCACAACTAAAGCAAAAGATTAAACATTTGACTAAACTGACATCAGGACAGTACTTTGGGGTCCACTCACCTTTCTGTTGTACCTACGTAAGTGACAGCGTTCACACAAACCTGTTCATGGGGTTGAACTAGCAGGCAGAAAGTTAGCCTTAGCCAAAACCCAGTATTTTTCTGGTGACTTGTCTCCCCAGCCCAGCTTGCTCTGCAAGTGTCTCACACAGGAAGAAGCAGATTTTTTGCAGCCCACCCTTAGGTCTGTGGCTGTGAAACCACAGCCAGTGAGGCCATAAGACCTGAAGTCGAAGGACGTTTAATCCATCTGTCAGGACAAAGTGGTTTGCAGTATACAACTTGGCAAAATACAGGAGACCAAGAAATAAACAGATCCCACATTTAAATGCACTAACCTGGGCATCTGACAGGAATAAAGAAAACATCTAAGCGATTAGTCTAATATTCCCCAAGTATATTTGAGACTACTCTGATAGTGATTGAAAGCAGAACATGTCCTTTACAACTATGTTTCAGCTGGACTAATACCAGCTTATTTTCCAAGGAGAAAGAGAAATAGCACTATTAGCGAAAGCAATGACCATAAATGATATGCAAAGGGTTTCACTGTGAAAAGATTAAAAGGACAGACGACCAAGTCATAACGCAGAGGAAATAAAAGAGAATATAAAAAAGCGCAGAGTAAAGGCCAGGTATTCACACAATATATCAACACATCAGCAAGTTTAACTAAGCCACAGGCACCGCAAGTTTGAGGTGAAAAATAGACACCAAGCACCATAACTTATGCACTCATGTAACATAGTAAATTTAAAAATGCCTCAGTCCAGCTCTTTAAACCTTTGGGGAACGTCGCTCTTAAATTGGATGAAGGACCACAGAATCATGGCTGTGGTTGGGTATGCGGGCTCATGCCCAAATTGCAGAGGGGAACCCATCCCCACACTCCCACCCACCGCTCCAGCAGCATACAGAGCACTCCCCATTAGCTGTTACTAATCTTAGTTCCGGCAACAATAATACAATGCCAGGGTTAATTAGATGTGGTGATACAGTTTTATCACCAAGAAGTTTGTGATTTACTCTGAGAAGTCATACTACTATTGCTGTATGTACAAGGATATAAACCAGCTCAACTTTCAACTAGTTTCTGTTCAAAATGAAGGAACAAGATTACTCATAAACCACTCGCTCAAGACAGAACACAGGAAAAGATGCAGGGAAGATCGTGTTTTCGGTGATTTTATAATTTGAAGGATCACTGCCTCCAGAGTCATTAGACATCCCCGAGGAAACTACAAAACTTTCCTGCAGATTATGGTCTATGTAGGGAGAAGAGATACTTTGGCAGCTATTAAGCTACTGCTTGCAACTGTAGGCGTGGACAGAGGGACTTGAAATTATTTCTTCCTTTCTTATCTGGAAGAAATACAAGCCTGCTGTCATCATGGTAACATCTTTATCAGTCTAAGGGCTCAAGAAGTTCACATGCTATAGGCGCTAACCTGAAGTCAGACCAGTAGACATCTAAAATAAAATAATTTCTTTCATCTTTTTTTTTATGTTGGATATATAAAGCTAAAGGGTTAATAAAAGTTTGTCTCCACTGAAGATGGCTGTTCACAGGAGTCTTTTCACCTGGAATCCAGAGCCCCACCATACACACACTGTACCTGATGCACAGACACCATATATATAAAAACAACTGAGCACTCTTGTCAAGTCACATACTACAAGAACAAAACGTTGGCCAGGATGTTCTCTAAAGTGAAAGAGGAAGCTAAAGCAACACAAAACAATTGCGTTTTTTTGGGGGGACAGGTTGGTATGTTTGGGGTTGTTTGGTTGGGTTTTAAAATCATCCTCCCTAAAAAGCTGTTAAAATTAAAATGCACTTGCACTGCCCTAAAAGACAAGTACTGCCCCTCCCCAAAAAACCAAAGCGAACATTAACCCATTCACTCTTGCTGCTACTTCAGCTACATAACTGGCATTACTTCTTTACGCTTGGGCTCTCCCCTCCTTTAAAAAAGGAAAAAAGTGGAAGGGGAAGAAAGGGGAATAATGATAATTTTATTAGTGTAATTAAAAGACAGAAACCTAGGATCACTTGTACATAGAGCACTATTGTACAATACACAGAGAAATAGCCTGAACACTACAAGAATTCCCAAAATAGAATCTGAAATGCAAGTAAGAAAATGAAAATAATTTTTGCAATTTTTTAATATATTGTTTCCAAGACTCCTAACATTTAAGGGTTTTTTTTGTAAGCTAAAAATATCTCTCCAGAAGCAAATTAAGGAGAAGAAATATGTGCTGTCTAAATGCTCCACCCAAAAGATACTCGCTCTCCAGACTAAATGGAGAACAACCAGCCAACCTACCTTCACCTTCACAACCAGCAGTCTCGGCAAAGATTTCTTCAGAAATACAGGATTCCACCTTCCCTCCCCAGTAATAAGCATTTACTTAATGATGTGCTGTTTATGCAGCTTGAGAGAAATAAACTGAATTAGCAAATGAGATATATTTCAAAATGAATCTATTTCTCAGTTTGCTGCAAAACAGAAGGAAGGAGATGATCTTTCTGGTCACCTTACGGAAAAGGTTTAGCTTGAAACTAAGGGGCACATTGAGAACCAAATTAGATGCAATTTAAGATGCATGCACAGCCTCTGCTTTTGTTCTGACAGAGAAACTATGTGGCTGCTTGCCAAAAATAAAGATATAAAATAACAATAGCACACAGTGCTTTTGAGTTTGACTATCTAAAAGTCAGTGCACATCAAATATTCCTCCACAGTCCTGCAACAGGATCTCTGTCAGTGGTAAGGAAGCATCTGTCTCAGAAGTGACTGTTTCTTCTTCAGCAGCTGATTCTGCTGTAGCTTGGGAAATTCAGAGCGCCTAAAGCTGCAGTGTGCTTCTACACTGCTGCTGCCTACATCTAGTCCCCATGCCTTCTGAAGGGCATGGCCGGCTCCGCGCTGGAGCACCCGGAGATACAGAGCAGGCTGAGCACGCACTGGAGCCGGGAATGCACGCCTGAGAACAGGAGGGAATCCATTTTCCCCATAAATGGAGTTATGGGAGAAGTGGCACACATAGGTCAGCTGAAATACTGCCAGAAGAAGGTTCCTGCCTGTCTACTGCCATTAATTTTCATTTTACAGCAAAAGCTATCCAAAACCATCTGGTATTACTAACATACCCAATACAGATTTAAATAGTCTGAGTACAGAAGATGATATAAATATGATTGAGATCATGCATTGCATGTTGCTTTCAAGATTAAATGGTCCTCAAGGGCAAAGAATTTTAAATGGTTACAGTTAAGTGAGAATTAGCGAAAGACTGCCCCATTTCAATTCAGACTGGAATCCAGTGTCAGAAGTTGGCTGCCTTTACATTACAGCCATGTATAGAAGTTTACTGTCATCTTAAAAACCCAAGTGATCCTATTCAAGTGTCTAATAGTTTGTTCAGATGTGCAAGAAAAACACAGCAGTTGCTATGAAATAGTTTAAACCTGTCTTATCAGAAGATTTTATTGTTAAGTTTATTGAACACGACTGAGAAAAAGTCCAATAAACACTGTTTCTCCCTCCTATTAATTTAAACCTGCCAGTAAATGCTGAAGTCCTGCTTCGATGCAATTTTAGAACACTAATTTCAGAATTTGTATTCCTGTAAATATAGCAGATTTTGGAGACCATCAGACAACAAAACATCTCCCCACACAGGATGCTATGAAAAAAGTAAATCATGGACACAAATAAATTATACATGCAAAGGTAGATGGCCAGTTTAGTCTGCAGGCCAATACAAACGCAATTATATTTTGTCAGCTATGGTTTCTCTTATGTGATAAAATATGGATAAGTTTGTTAACAAGTTCATTCCTATGTGAAATGAACTGTGCCACAGCTCACAGCAGTGATAAAAATATTTACTGAACTGAGGATTAGCTTTTTAATAGTTAAAAAAGCGTAATATCACAGAACTCAGGATTATTGCTGACAGTTACAGGAAAAACAAAGATAAACCCTAAGAAATCTTAGATGAATTAAAATATAAGACAGAGCAGCAGTTTTCAAAGCTTGCCTATACTTGCTTTTAATAAGCATAGATTATTTTAAGTTGAAAGGGCTCTCTGGAAGTCACCCACACAGAGGAAAGGAAATCTGCATGTTTAATCAGAATTTCTCACGTTGCGGCTTCTGCCCACTGTTTTTCAATATTATCACTGTTCAGTGACTAGAGTCCGATTCTGTCTTTTCTATTCCCTCCCACTAAGCATCTGGGCACAAATGATAGGAAGAGTATCCTGACAGAGTTCCACTGGAAGTCTTTAATTATGTTAATAGTTACCATTTAATAGTCATCATACAGCACAAACACAGCCCTCAAAAACACCTATTTGCTCTGACCTTTCTGCCCCTTTCCAAAGCAGCCCTTGGGGTACAGCGGTAAAGAGGTGGTAAAAGAGGAACCCATAACAAAATAGAGAAACTCCACTTGGCATTTCTAAGTTTCCCTCTCACAAGACTTCTTTTACCTCCTCAGTCCCACCAAAAGATGAGAGCCAACTTGGGTCTTGGCTGCTCTTCCTTCCCCCCCACAAGGGGACTCCTGTACCACCAGACAAGTGAACCATGTTAATCTTTCACCTTGCCACAGACAGCAAGACACAACTGCAGTACTTAGCCTCTGCAGAAGATCGGCAGTCCTTCCACTCTGCAAGACCTCTCCAGAATTTGAAAGGTTGTGGCTATACAGGGAGAAAGTTGTCATTAGTGAACTGTGAACCCCAAAATAGACTTAAATTCTTTTCACTGTCCTTTCTGCAGATCTTTCTCCCATGCCCTTGAGCACTCCAAGGGCAGAAGCAAAGAGATACA